TCAAGCTCCGGTTCCAGTGCAATGTCTTGTTGTGTTGATACTATAGTGAAGTCATCCAATGCAGACTGGGGGTTGGCATAATCTCCTCTTGGTGCATAGACAGATGCAAGATAAGAAGCATTCCATACCCGCCCATCAGAAAGTCGACAGGTGTAAGGTCCCTTCTTCTCTATGATTTTAAGAGGAGCTGTGAATTTATGGTCCCCTTTGCGTAAAATTCCAGGTTTTCATATTCTAACGAAAGAACCACACTCAAAACTTTGGTTCCTTAGCACCCTGCCGCTTGTCTGTGAAAGCCTTATACTTTGCTTGGTTCTGTTCAACTGTTTTTCTCACATCATCCTGGGTTGGGGCATCAGGTCATGCCTTTAACAATCCAGCAATTTTCAGTTTAGTATTCAACTGTTTCCCATGCAGTAACTCTGTGGGTGATCTTTGCGTTGTGGCATGTCGTGTAGCCCGGTATTCTTGCAAGAAATCAGTAGTGAAGGTTATCCACAATCACCCTTCCAGTTTATCCGTTTGCAAACTCCCTTTCAAACTTCTGTTAAACTGTTCGATTTCCCTATTGGCTTGAGGGTAATATAGGGATGATCTTCTGTGTAAAATGTTCCTCTCTGCTAGAAAGGTTTCAAACTCCAGGGGGTAAATTGACTAACATTACCTGAAACCAGTTCTTTGGGGTTACCCTCCCTGCTAAAGACTGAAGAGAGGAACTTAATTACTGTAGCAGAAGAGATTTACGATGTAAACAGGCCATTTACTGAAATAGTCTATTAAAGTGATGGCATAACGGCAGACACCTGGAGCAGTATCAAAGGGTCCTACAATGTCAGTCACCACTTTTTCCCATGCAGATTCAGAAAGAGGAACAGGCTGCAATGGAAGGGTATAGGTCACTGCAATCTTATGCATTTGGCAAGTGACACAGGATTTTATGGGTTTCAGAGTAACAGCCGCGTTAGTCTGTCTTTGCAAAAAGAAAAGGAGTACTTGTGGCACCTTAGAGACTAACCAATTTATTTGAGCATGAGCTTTCATGAGTTACAGCTCACTTCATCGGATGCATACCGTGGAAACTGCAATAGACAATATATACACACAGAGACCATGAAACAATACCCCCTCCCACCCCACTGTCCTGCTGGTGATAGCTTATCTAAAGTGATCATCAAGTTGGGCCATTTCCAGCACAAATCCAGTTTTTCTCACCCTCCGCCCCCCCCCCCCACACACACACACAAACTCACTCTCCTGCTGGTAATAGCCCATCCAAAGTGACCACTCTCTTCACAATGTGTATGATAATCAAGGTGGGTCATTTCCAGCACAAATCCAGGTTCTCTCACTCCCTCACCCCCCTCCAAAAACCACACACACAAACTCACAGTGCTTCAGTTTGAGAGTCCATCCCTGGCCACCAAAACAGATCCCATAGTCGTTGTTTGGTTCTGACAATTCCTTGATGAGTATTGTGTGCCAGGTGTATGGGTTTTGACTGTAATTCTTCTGGCACAAGTAGCCGGTGTGTACCTCATAGCACACAGCCATCAAGCAAAGAAAGTTCATCCCGAACTCTAAAATAAGGCAGCAAAACTGTGTCAAAGTTTTTAGGGTTACTGGGCCATCTTTTTGTCAGAAATTCCCGTAGTTTTTGTTGAATTGGACACGCTGAACAAGCAGCTTGAAATTGTTCTTTTGTAACTGCAGTAAGAGTGCTTGTAATAAGCGCAACTACTACATCCTCATCCTCCGGTGGACCATGCTGGTGAAGGCAAAGGCAGGCGAGAAAGGCTATCAGCGACCACATTTTGGTTTCCAGGCTTATATTCCATTTCATAATTGAAAGAGAGTAGTCTTGAAGACCATCTAGCAATACGATATCCTGCTCTTCCCAGTCCTTTTGTGGTGAGCAACGTCGTCAAAGGGCTGTGGTCTGTGCCCAACTTGAACATGCAGCCCCACAGGTAAGTTCACCATTTTTCAGTAGCCCGGACACAAACAAGTGCTTCTTTTTTGACTGTAGAATATTTCTCTCAGCATTACTTAGTGTCCTTGAAGCAAATGCAACAGTCCTTTCTTTGTTGTCCTCATGAAGTCGTGTGAGGACAGCCCCAAGTCCATAATCAGAAGCATCAGTAGTTACAATTGTGGGCAATGCAGGACTGAATAGTGCAAGTACTGGACTATGTACAATGAAGTCTTTCACCATTTCAAAACTAGCTTGTGCATCCATTGTCCACACTAAGGTTGAACTTCTCCGTAGTAATTCTCATAATGGTTCAATGACAGAAGCATAATTGGGAATGAATTTTGCATACCAGGAGGTAAGATCCAAGAAGGAACGTAAGGTTTGCAAATCTGTTGGAGGAGGAGCATTTGAAATTGCCAGGATATGAGCCAGATCAGATTTTAGTCCAGCCTGTGAAATTGTATGCCCCAGAAAGGAGAGTTAAGTTTGTCTAAATTTGCATTTGGACCTATTGAGCTTGAGGCCTGTTTTGCTGATGCAGTTTAGTACAGACTGCAGGTTATTGTCATGCTCCTCAGAAGTATTTCCAAACACGATAATATCATCCAGATAGCACTGAACTCCATGTTGATTCTTCAGAATCAATGACATCATTTTTTGGAAGGCACTTGGGGCAGATGGGAGACCGTATGGAACACGTTTAAAATGAAATAGTCCCTCATATGTAGTAAATGCTGTGAGGTCTCTGCTATCTTCATGCAACATAACCAAGTAGTATGCGCTCTGCAAATCAAGAGTAGAAAACATTTTTGCTCCACGGAGTTCTGCAAATACTTCTTCTATGTGAGGAAGAGGATGGCTGTCAATCACAATAGCTTTATTTGGGTCCCTTAAGTCCACTCAAAGGTGAATGCCTCCATCCTTCTTCTTTGTCACTACTATAAGTGAAATCCATTCTGAGGACTTAATCTCTTCAATAATGTCCTCTTGAACAAGTTTTCTAAGTTCCTCTGAAACAGCTTCCCTGACTGAAAATGGTAAGTGCCGTAACTTCTGTCGTACAGACATCACATTATTCCACATTTTAACTTTATGCAGAAACCCATAAGCACAACCGAGTTTCTCCTCAACCTGGTGTTGGGTCCCAGCTGAAACTGGTGCGTGTTTACTGCAAGAGTGCTTTGATGAGGAAGATCAATTCATCCATTATCTACCCTGAGATTTAAAGCAGCCAGTAAATCTCTGCCAAGGAAAGGAGTGCCTTTGTGGACAATGTAGAACTCTGCAGTTACACAGCAATCGCCAAAAGTAACTATTGCTGGCAGGCAGCCGTGTACTGGAATATGGTTTTTCAAATAGCACACAAAGTGAAGTTTGGGTTCAGTAAGAGGCACATCTTTAAAGTAATGCAAATAGATGGAATCAGATAGTATAGATACTGCTGAGCTAGTGTGCAACATTAACTGAATAGAGTGTGATTTGCCTGAGACTATGGCGGAAACGTTGATAGTGCACTTCATTTGTTCTGGAATAAGTGCAGTAGTGATTTTGTCCACGCTCAGCACAGTAACATCTGGTATTGTAACTGCATGCACCTGTTGATTGAATTGGCTGCTACGACATTTTACTTTAGCAAAATGCCCAATCTTTTTGCAATGATTGCACTGAGCTACTTTGGCCGGACATCCTGTGTAGCTTGCAAGGTGTTGTGGGGATCCACAGTGAAAGCATGCTTTTACTGTATTTTGAATTTGCTGATTCGGTGGCTTTTCATTAGTTTTCCTCTTGTAATCATTTGTCTGCAGCGATAGTGAACTTTTCTGCAAAAGAGTCAGAGCCTGGACTGTTCCTCCTGTATCCATGCTCATTATTTGGCTTCAGCTGTAGCTGACTCAATCTGAGTAGCAATGGTTATTGCTTTTTCTAGTGTAAGTTGTGGTTCTAGAAGTAAGCATTCTCTTACATGAAGCACGGTTGTTTTCTCAATGAGCTGGTCTCTAATCATCTCATCTGCCATATTCCCAAAGTCACAAGTTATAATCAGACTCCTCAGGGAAGCAATATACTGCATTATAGTCTCCCGTTTTCTGCTCATGCTGGCAAAGTCTGTAGCAATTAGCTATTACATTCACTTTTGGCACAAAAAAGTTCTTTAATGTAGTGAGTGCAGTCTCATATTTATCATCTGCAAGGGGAAAAGTGTAAAATATATGCGGCCCTTCTGTTCCAAGGCAGTGGATTAGCAGAGCATGCTTTCTTACTTCAGAAATCTCTGTAGCACCGATTGCAAGCAGATAAATCTCAAACATATGGATCCAGGCAATAAAAGCAATTGGAGGCTCATGTGGGCTTTGCAGAAAGGGTGCAAGTGGGTTCAGAGGCAGGAGAGCCATCCTCATCGCCAAACTGTTCTAGCAACCAGGCAAGGTACTAACAAACTTCAACAGAACTTTATTTTTAAAGTTGAAACCTCTTTTCCAAGCTGCTGCTACACCCTCGGTAGCTCTCACTCAGCCTCCTCAACTCCCCCCCTCCCCCATTCCCGTTTCCTATCCTTTCAGACTCCCAACAACCAGCGCTCCCAGTTCTAATAATTACAAGCAGCATCTAAACACCACATAGGGAGCCAAGTATTTGGTGATTACTCCAGCGGGACTGGGTTGAAGAGGCTTTCTGGACTCCCAGGCTGCAAGGGCTGGCCAGGCTCTAGGGTTCACGTGTTTGGGGTGAAGGGCTGCAGGCGGGTCAGGGACCAGTCACCGGAGGAGTTGAGAGGATTCTCCGCTGGCAGGAGCCAGGGGTTCCGCATGAGACTCGCGCGTCGTTTCTCCTGGAGCGCCCCCGTCACTCCCATGTGAGTGGCAGCCCTGCGGTCAATGCAAAGCGCCTCTTTCCCCTGCCTAAAGCCTCTCGCCCGCCTCGGGCACTGAGCGAGTCCGGCGCGAGCGTCCCTGGCGTCCCACGCCGCTCCGCGCGCGGGGCCGGATTCCTCGCGAGGCGGAACCAGGGGCGGCGGGGAGCAGGTTTGCAGCCGGCCGCAATTGCGGGCGCACCACACCGGCGGGGACCTGAGAGGAGGCGCTGCTGCTGCTGCTGAGGCGTCCCGCAAAAGCCATGCTAGCGGCAGCCCGCGGGGCGGTGCGCCTGCTCCCCGGAGTCCGGGGCGGAGCGGGGAGCTCCCTGCTCAGGTAGGGCCAGGGATAGCCTGGCCTGGGGCTCGCCGGTCGGTCCCCCGCCCCCAGCCGGCGCGTGTGGCCCCTGGGACCCCACCTCCTGCCGGGCCCGTGGCAGGGCCCTTCCGCTGCACGCGCTGTCCTCGCGCGAGGAACGTCGGGCGCGTGCGCCCCCCCCCCATCCCCGTGATACGTGGTGCCGGCCGCTCCCCGCACGCGGTTCCCCCCTTGGGCGGAGTGGCCACGCCCATGGGGAATGCAAAGGCGTAGTAGCCACTTGGCCCCTGCGTGGCATGCTCTGATCCAGCAGCCCGTGCCCTGCCCTGTTCTGGGGTCCTTTGCCATAGGTGCCTTCCACCAGCGTGGCCCTTGTTGAAATTTCCTGGTCTTTCACGTGTTGCGCCATCTTGATCTGCCTGGCTACCCTCACTGCCAATTGTGGGTGCTGCCCTCCTGGAAGCAGCAGGTCCCAGCATGCGATACATGTTCCTTGGCATCGGGATGGAGTTTTGCAAAAAAGTTGGATTGAGATGGAGTATTACATGCAAGCGTTGTGGTACCAGCAGGCTTAGTCCGGGCTCCAGCAAAAGGGCATGGACAAGTTGGTGGCTCAGACTTTGACAGATTGTATTTCTTCTGTAGCAGACTTCATAGACCCTGAGAAACTGTATCACCCTGTTCCTAAAAGTGAAGCTGCAAATGCTCCCTAGTCCACAGAATCAGTTATTTTTACTTTTCAAATACATGGTCATTTGAATTTGAGACATAATTAATTTGTGGAGTTTTTTTTAAAGTGATTTTTCCCCCTTGCGGATTCAAACTTTCAAACAGTGCAAAATTTGGACTGTTATTGGGCTGAAAAGGTTCATATTTGTTACAGTTGAATTAGTGCCAGGCACCACTACTCGCTCAAACAGATGAGGATGGACTGAAGATTATTCATTATAATATCAGGGGGTAGCTGTGTTAGTCTGTATCCACAAAAACAACGAGGAGTCCCGTGGCACCTTAAAGACTAACAGATCTATTTGGGCATAAGCTTTTGTGGATAAAAAACCCACTTCTTTTACCCACGAAAGCTTATGCCCCAAATAAATCTGTTATTCATTATAATGTATTTATGCAAATGAAATCATTAATAAAAGGCAGTCTACAAAAGCTATATATTAACATAATTGAATTTGATTCTTCTCATGCTTTGTATTCCTTTTTTCTTTAGTTCTCAGCTGTCCTGGACCATTCATTTTCGGGGAAACCACTGGCAGACTTCTATGCTGGCATTTCAGGCGTCCCTCCCCATGAGGTAAAATACAATTTATATTGTATTTCATAGAATAGTTTTCAGATGTTCAAATCCTCTTTACAGGAAGTTAGGAAAAATTTAAATTATTCAAATGAATAGGCGCACATATATATTTCTACATTATGAGGCATAGATATAAAATCAGGTAGAACTATTAGACTCTAGCGTACTGTTTAATTCCCATATATGTAGCTAGTGTTCTGAATAAAATTTTAGTGTTAATGGTTAGTTGTATTTACTCATAATTCCTCAGTTATGAAGGCATGTAACGTAAGGGTGTAAATGTTTGGAGATATTCTGGTTTAAACAACTTCCTAGTTTTTCCTTTTGAACAGTAGTTGAAGTGTAGCACTAGCTGCACTAAAAATACTTGAATGTACTTTTTCTACATTTATAGATGTATAGTATCAGTTTGCATGCCACCCTTTTCTTAATACAGCTTGGTTAAAATGACTCCATAGTTAGTAACTAAAATACTGTACGACTTCTGTTTCAAGCCAACATCCAAATATAAAACCTGTCTGCCTGTACTGTATTGTGTATGTAGTATAAGGAAGCAGCCTGGCTTGGTGGACTGAATGCCAACCAGGAACACCAGAGTTTTAAACCTGACTGCCATTGACTTATTCTGTAGCATTATGCAAGTCACTGATCCACTTGCCTTGGTTTCCCTATCTGTAAAATGGGCATAATACTTCAGAGTGTTGAATTAAAAGTAATAATTAATATATTGATGCTTTGGGGAAAGTATGATCCAGTACAGACCCCGGATTTGGCTTGTATTATTAGAAAGAAATATGTGTCTCAGCCTGCTTAGTTTGTGCTAATTGAAGCAGGCCTGTTAGTTTGCAAGATCTGTGTTAATTGTAGAAAAACATCCAGAGACAAAGAGTCTGTTCTAAAAGTAATAAGATAACATGTTACAAATGTTTTTTTGAACTTAGGAACAAAATTTGTTGTTTGTTTACTTTTACATTCCTATTTTGCTTGTTTTTTTTTTTTAGTGTATAACAGGTGGCATGGATAGATTAATTGGAGTCTGTCATGCCCCAATGATGTGAGAATAGTTATGTTAAAGAATGCATAGGTAATAAAATGTAGGAGGTATGTTAAGTAAAATAAAGTATGATTGCGGATGTATGTTTGAATGAGTAATAAAAGATTGAAGTGCCAGCCTAATAAATAACACTACATCTAGAGGAAAAACCAATAGGCCAAAGAATGAGAATGCATTGGGTAAGATAACTGGATTACCCTGAGGGCAAGCCAGAATCCACCCCGCAACTGCCCCAAGGATAGGGGGGCCAAAGGCCAAGATAACAACAAGCCATCATTGCTGTGCCATCTGTGTGATTGACTGTAATTTCAAACGTGAGAACAGTGATTGATTATCACTTCAAACATAAAAATAGAGCATGACAAAGCAAACCCTATAGATTTGAATGAGGATGAATCCCTATAAAGATAGACTCTAAAAACTGGGAACTTTGAGTCTGGTTCTGCAATCACCCTTCAGGAGCATCGGATGCGCTTCTGACAAGACTCGGCTCCACATGTCCTGGCCACTTGGCTAGTGACTTGGCACGAGCAACTTTAAGGTTGGTAACTATAACAACCACCTTGCAGAACTTGTGTGAGTGAATAGCATGTTATAGCTGTAACTGATTAATTCTTTCTGTATTCACAGTAAACACAGCATATTGCCTTATCCCCTAAATAAGATCCTGCTGGTTTTCATTTTCTAAGTATAACAGAAGTGCTGTAAGGACTCATTAGTTAATGTTTGTAAAGTGCTAAGTATTCTTCTGTGTACAGATTGATATAAGAAAATGTACTATATTACAGTTTATATTGATTTGCTGCAAGAATGCTTCTCAAATTCCCAGTATGTATAGATAAATATTCCCTATTAGACACACCGTTTTATGCTAGGATGGGTTTACTATAGAAACAAAAAGTATTATTACATGGGTATACACAGATACAAAATTTTTAAATTAATTTCCTCCGCTAGAGCAGAACCGCGGAAGAAAAAGAAGGCAGATCCAAGGAGAGAACAAGCACAAAAGGACCGTATGAAGAAAAAGATAAAAAAGCTGGAAAAAGCTGCCCTGGAAATGATTCCCATTGAGGATTTTGTAACACCATTCAAGTTTTTGGATGCTTCAAGGTATGGAGAACTGCTAGCTTTTACTTTGGGGTTGATTATGAACTGAAGAAGCGCAAATAACAGTGAAATACCCTCTACCTACTAATACTACCCTGTTGCCCATAAGCTGCCTTGTGCTAGATACAAGGGAGTCAGTTTTGAGATAAATAGTTAAAGGATCAAGAAATTTGTGACTTCTGCAACTCCAGAATTTTTTTTCTTGAGTTGTTTCTCCTACAAATTGCTTTTGAAACAGTGTTTTGTGTTTGTAATGAAAAATTGTAATTCTGGGTGTGGGATACAGAGTTTTTTAAAAAATCTTTTGATAAATCAGATGGGATCAGTCTAAGACTTTATCTCCAATTCCAAGTGCTGAGATGGACTTTGCAGGAGTTTCTGGAGGGCTATCATGAGAGGAGGGGCAGCAGATCCTTCTCTCTGATTTTGGAATGTTCTGCTTCGCACATGCGAAAACATATCAATGTAATTTGTTTGGTGTGACTTTTGTTCCCATTTTAGATTCATTCGTATCCCTGTTCTGGCACCTGGTAAGGGGAGTGTTGTTTACTGGTTGGAACAAGAATTTTAGAATTATAAGTCCTAGGTTCTACTCCCTACCTACTCTGCCACTGACTTTTGGCAATGTACTAGTTGTGGCTGTGTCGGTCCCAAGATATGAGAGACGAGGTACGTGAGGAAATATCTTTTATTGGTCCAACTTCTGGTGGTGAGACACAAGCTTTTGAAAAAAGAAAAGAAGTACTTGTGGCACTAACCAATTTATTTGAGCATGAGCTTTCGTGAGCTACAGCTTGAGATGCCCAGAACTGTTCTTCAGGTCTGGGAAAGGAATTCCCCGTGTCACAGCAAAATGCAAAGTGTTTAATAGCCCATTGCCCTGCTTGTTACCCCTAACAAAGGCCCTGGCTTCTTTATGCAGAAAGCTCCTTATTGTGCCACAGGTGGGCCATGGAGTTTTTATAGCATGTTGGGTGGGCCTCAGAAAGAAAAAGGGTGAGAACCCCTCTTGTAAGGGACCATTCAAGATAGAGTGGCCGATTAACACCTCTGCAGTCAGAGAACAAAAATATGGGGTTAGTGTAGCAGGCAGCCTGCAGGCCCAGTGCGTGCTAAAAAAAATTCAAAATTTGCCACTCTGGTCTGAAAGGGGGCAGAGCTGGCTGAGGGGGAGACACCATCTGGCAGCCTGCTGGAGCACTCCTGCTAGCAGGGGGCTGGTGAGTGCCACAGGGGGGCAGGGTGAAGGAGAGTGGGTCTCTGGGCAGGTTTGTGGGGTGAGAAGGCACTCTGGGCAGTGAGGGGGCACTTTGAACTAGGAATTTGTGGGGATGCTGCAGCAAGTTTTAGGCTGCTCAGCCCCGCGTTGTGGCATGTGGGTGCCACCTGCCCACTTCTGGCCCCGCTCTGTGGAGGGGTCTCGGGGCGCTGGGCATAGGGGACTTTGGGGGGGGAGGGGCACTGTGGTTCTCAACCTGCATTGGCCTACAGTGATAAATAGGTTGAGAACCACTGGGTTAGTGGGTTACAGATTATTGTAATGAGCCATAAATCCATTATTTGTAGTGTCTAGCAGAGTAATAAATTTAAGCTCCCATACATTATGCGCTAACTACTTATGCTAAACAATCTGTTTCACCTTGCATTTTTCTGTGACCTGGGAGTTCCTTTCCCAGATCTGAAGAAAAGCTCTATGTGGCTCAAAAGCTTGTATTACCTCACCCACCTGGTCTCTCTAATTACCTTGGGCAAGTCTTTAAGCTCCTGTTCTCTTACCTTTAAAAAAGATAATTACCTCAGGTGTATTGAGGAATGTTTGTAAAGGAATCTTGCAAAATTGCCACAAAACGCATCAGCTTGGGTACAAAATCTTCTCCCCCACTCTCCCTGTGGTGGCAATAGAGAGAACATGAATGATCTTTTACTTGTTTGTTTAGAAACAAACAGATGAATGGGCAAGTGGAATTTGCTGTTAGATAGTGCAGTAGTGTCCTCCCATGAAAGACCCTACATAAAGGCAATCCAGAGTATTGTGTGTTTGGGCCAACTTGCCTCTTTGTATCTCACTGTAGTTTTTGTTAGATGCTTGCTCTTTGGGATGTCAGCAGCTTCTGTGTTAAAATGTTCTTTCACGTTTGCCAGAGTGCGAGATATCTCCCCGCTGTCCTTTGAGGAGAGTGAAAGGCGAGCCCTGCTCTTGAAGAAGTGGGCCCTGTACAAGCAGAAAGAGCATGAGGCAGAGATGGAAACACTGAAGTCTCTTATGGCAGCTCAGCAGGAGGCACTAGAGGAATTGCGTCTCGAATCAGAAGAACTTTACCAAGCAGCAATAAGACGAGACGATGACCTGTTTCCCTTTGAGAAGGAGGGGCCTACTTACACACCACAGGTTCCTGGCTATGAGGCTCCTGAAGGGAAATGCATCGACGTTACCAAAGTGTACACTCAGTGAGATCAGAAGATTGTGCCACGCAGCTGCATTAAAGGGCATGAGAGGAGGACACAATGGGATGCGACTAGACTATTTCTTTCGCTTTTTCAAACATCCCTATGCAGGTGGCTGTCAAAAGAAAATAAAAACACCACCTGTCCTTGTTCCCTTTCTTTTTATAACTGGCCATCTTGACAATAAAACCAAAATACTTTAGAACCCCGTTTATCTAACCCTCCCTTAGCCAGTTCTCTGCATTTACCGTGACTCCAGGGCCAGAAGCGGGCAATCTCTCCTGTAGCCATTAGATGGTGCTGTGGCATAGCATTTTCCCATTCCGTGATTTATTCAGAGTTTTGATTATCTGATCTGGCCCTGGTCCCAATTAGACCAGATAAACAGGGTACTACTCTACTGTATTTTTATGCCACAAACTGAAGCATGGTCCCATGTAGGGACATTTTTCACTTATGGAATATTTTTCCCCTTTCATTTATTCCTGAGTAACAATTCCTCACTCTGGACAAACCATAGTTCCTGAGGGTATAATTATGCCATGAAGAAAAATTGTTAAAGCGATCGTATGTCAGTCTGCTGTAGTGGAAAGATAATAACTGCCAATTTCTCCTTTAGCTCCAATTCAGGTTTTGCTGAGGTGCCTGTGTACAAATCAAGGGGAAAACAGATTCACAACAAAGTAAATACAGCTATTTATACTGCATGGCTAATGTGATAAGACATTCCATTTTAACTAATTTGCTTAAAGCCATAAGACTTATCTTTGAAAGTCACTGAAGTCTTTATTTTTGTGATAACTTTTAATGCTTTCACAAACATATTTTAAGAACAAAAACTGCTTGAGAATAATTTTGCAGGGGCAAACAGCTGGCATAGGTCAACTTTATTTTCTGTCTGCTGCCCCCTGGCACACTATTAAGGATGACAATAGTGCATCTGTACAAACTGGTTAGGTTTTGTTTTTTTTCCAAATACTAGCTGCTTGGGCTGTCCTGATTACTCTAATCTCTGTTGCCAATGGAGAGGGATATCTTAGTTTTTTAATTCCTCACCTGGCCAGCCTGGTCTTGGGCATACCAAAATGGCAGCAGACTTAGCCCATGTGAAGGAAGGGGGGCGGCTCTACTAGCAAGAGCAGCCAGGCTACATGAATGTGTGCTGTTTCAAAGCAGCAGGCATTGTCCTTGTCTGGATGGATGGTAAAGGGAATGAAAAAGGCAGAGGACTGTAGCAGACAAGAATCAAACTGAGCACCTGAACTATCCTTTTAAAATATTTACATCTCAATAAGATGTTTCTTAAACACCACTAAATGTACCCCAAAATAGGCATTAATGAGGTGCGTGGCTGCTGTGAGCAGAAGTATAAGCTGAGAAGTCTCTCTCCTTTAGAGGCTACAGTCTTATTTCAGAATCACATGGCAAAAAAATAGCATGGCTCTCACATCTGGTATATGAGGGCCAAATATGGTAGGTAGTCTTATTACTTTGGTTTATCTTGACCAAGAGGAAGGTACCAGTCCCTTGGTGGGCTTTTCCTGAGCTTCCACACTGGATCATACTTTTGTTTTTCCAGAATCCGGGCTCTTTCACTCTTGCATAGGGATTCCTGCAATGCATGACAATACGATACTCAACACTCAAACACAGTGTGCTGCATTTTCAAAGCACATTATAGACATTAACTACTCACACAACAACTCAAAAAGAAAAGGGAGTACTTTTGGCACCTTAGAGACTAACAAATTTATTTGAACAAAAGTTTTTGTGAGCTACAGCTCACTTCATCGGATGCATGCAGTGGAAAATACAGTGGGGAGATTTTATATACACAGAGAACGTGAAACAATGGGTGTTACCATATACACTGTAAGGAGAGTGATCAGGTAAGGTGAGCTATTACCTGGGGGGGGGAGGGGGCCGCAGAACCCTTTTGTAGTGATAATCAAGGTGGGCCATTTCCAGCAGTTGACAAGAACATGTGAGGAACAGTAGAGGGAAAATAAACATGGGGAAATTAGTTTTACTTTGTGTAATGACACATCCACTCCCAGTCTTTATTCAAGCCTAATTTAATGGTGTCCAGGTTGCAAATTAATTCCAATTCAGCAGTCTCTCGTTGGAGTCCATTTTTGAAGTTTTTTGTTGAAGAATTGCGACTTTTAGGTCTAATCGAGTGACCAGAGAGATTGAAGTGTTCTCCGACTGGTTTTTGAATGTTATAATTCTTGACGTCTGATTTGTATACATTTATTTTTTTACGTAGAGACTGTCCAGTTTGACCAATGTACATGGCAGAGGGGCATTGCTGGCATGTGATGGCATATATCACATTGGTAGATGTGCAGGTGAACGAGCCTCTGATAGTGTGGCTGATGTGATTAGGCCCTATGATGGTGTCCCCAGAATAGAAAGACTCCAATGAGAGACTGCTGAATTGGAATTAATTTGCAAACTGAACACCATTAAATTAGGCTTGAATAAAGACTGGGAGTGGATGTGTATATTCCTGTACAAATAATTATCTTTTCAAAAGATCATTACTTTTTAGGGCAAAAACCTAAACCATAAGGCCTACATTTTCAAAAGTAGCTATTGGTTTTGAATGCCTCAATTTTGGGGCGTTCAGTGTTGAGATGCTTTCAAAGGGCCTTGTTTTCAGACAGTGCTGGACATCCACCCTCTTAAAATCAGGCCTCTCTATTGTCTCAAGTTGGGAACACAAGTGTTACTTTGAAAATTTAGGCTTAATGATCCTGATAAACAAAGCTTTAATAATAGTAGCACTAACACCACTATGATATTTATTTCTGCCTCAATGGTATTCTATTAAGTTGGGTTGTGTTTTTTAAAATTCTCCTTTTATTGGCAAGACAGCACAATTGAGGTTTCTAGGAGAGATTTGAATGAGGCAAGGAATATAGAGAACTGGCGTGAGGTTGTGGGCATAGGTGACAGAAGCATAAAAAGGCAGGCATTGGAGAAGGAAATGGGAAAATTAAGGCTGACATTGTTCATGGAGTGGAAGGGAGAAGGCGGAGAACATGAAAGGTGGCAAAGTCAGAGCCATATACTGTGCTGAATGACGGATGTTGGCTCTTAAAAGCAATGACAAAGCTTGAACGTGAAATAAGATAATGGGGAGCTAGTGGGGAGAGCTGAAGAAGGGATGATACAGTCAAAACAACAGGAGAGGAAGATGATTTTAGTGACAACATTTTGTATGGATTAGCGTGGTGAAAAAAGCAAGACATTTTTCCCTCTACAGTTTTGAAGAAAAGGTTGTGGATTGAAAAGGACAGTGGCAGGCAATTTAGGCTCAACATTTAGTTATTTTTAAAGGATTTGTAAAATCTTATAATGTTGCAGTTGTTAGTCCCCTCTGCCAGAAACAAAACACACCCAAGAGTTAAACGTATTGGAAAATTATCCAACAACATCTACATAGTGCCTCACAGACATAGAAAAGGCCTGTTCTCATCACTGACATAACTATTGTTCAATATACATTACACCAGCCTTGTGACAGGCTTGCCCACTCAATTGTGGAAGTACTTTATATTGATACATTAGAAAAATCTACTTGTTTTTTTTTATTGTGGTATGGGTGGCTGAGTAGATTTTTTGTGGGGGAAGGTTAATGCTGATGACCATGGTGCATGAATGATGCACAATTTATTTTTTAAACCATTCTTAATACTATCTTCAGTTTGGCATTCATCATACCTTAGCATCTGGACTTTTGCTTTTTTCCCACTTTCTGCAATTGCCATAGTCTATTTTCCACTGTTCACAGGAGGGCGCTTCCCCATATGTATAATAGTTATGGAATAAATTACGGACGCCCTTACAGTGTTTCCATTCAGACCAATAATCCTCACATGTTCGTGGAGGCTGGTAAAATAGCAAAAAAATACGTTAAGAAGACACTTGCAGGAGAAGAATCATATTTGGACTCAGCAGTAAGGAACAAGATGTTTCCGAGTTTAAAAATGCCCAGTCTATGTTGTCACGGTGGGAAATCAAACCTGTCCCATTCATTTCAGCTGTCTTGATGGGGGTATTTTCCCCACATGCTGTCTCAGTGTATTGTGTTTTGAGATTAAGTACTGTGCTATTGTTATTCCTTTACTCCTCTGTCAGGAACCAAGTGTGCAACTGTCGTTGTTACTTTGCTGTACAGAGGCTGGGACGAAGAGGCTCTGTCTCGTGGGGGCGGGCCACAGGAACTATTGCATTATGAACAAGTAATCCAGAGATAAACAGCTCAGGGTAAGACTCAATTTTTAAGGACTAGAGTTTGGCTACTAATATTCTTCTACCTGATCAGTTTCATCCTGAAACACACAACAGGGCGTTTTCCGACTGCTCAGAGCAACTGAGCCAGTAGCCGGAGTGCTGGGCCCTGCTCTCAGCCTTGGCCACCGGCTCACGGTGGGAGCCTGGGCCCACCCCTTACCCCGGGAGTGTCAATTACACCCTCAGCACACGGGGGCAATGGTCCTCCCCTCGCAGCTTGGGGCGGGCGGTTTGGCAGCCCGCAGGGAGGGGGGGTCAGGCGCCCGGAGAGCCCGGCCGCAGGCCACCGCGCACAGCTGGGCCGCTAGGAGACGGACGGGGATGGCCCGGCCTGTCATGACCTCGACGGGCCCCAGGCTGCCCGCCTCACTCCCAGCCGAGCCCGCGCGCCCGCTCACTCACTCACCCTCCACACGCCGCCGTCAGCCATGCTGCTGCCCGGCGCCGTGAGCCCAGCCCCACGCTGAGCTCATCGAACCAATCGGACAAGGGTGTATGACGGACTGCTCCATCCCAGCCAATCGCTACGTTTTCCGGCCGCGTGAGCCGGAGGGGCCGGAAGGCCGAAGGTGAGCCAGGTGTTGCCACGGCTACCTGTGCTCCGCCCCTGGCTGGGGAAAGCCAATGACGAGACAAGAACTGGTCTGAGCGACGCAGCGCTGAGCCACTCAGCATTCGCCTGCCTCCGGCGCGCAGCAAGCGGGAAATTGGGCAACCCGGGACGAGGCAGAAGGGTGCGAAGTGCGTGGGCGCGCGCTGCGCCAGGGCCAGATGCCACGTGCCGCTCTCAGCAGCGCGCGCCCGCGTCGCCGACACAGTGCCCGCGGCGGGCGACGCAGTGCGCTGTCCTCCCTGTCGCGCGGGAGCCGCCGAGATGGGGGAGGGGTGTCAGGCTGCTAGCGCTGGGAGAACTCTGCCTGCGGGAATGGAGAGTCCCCCGTGAGCAGGCTCTGCGCGAGAGCGGGCCCTAAATGGGGACGCCTTCCTTCCCAGGGGGGGCTGCACAGCCCACAAGGCAGCTGGGCCCCCCTGTTCCCTCCCGGCCCGTGTTTTGGGCGCAGAATGCCCTCCGCAGTACTGGATGGATTGCAGCTGTCATGCTGCTTCCTACTCCGACTGCTATGGTTAAGGTTCCCGATAACCTGTTGCGTTCGCCCACTGCTCCCTTTCTAAGCTTTCCCCCTTGGAGCTAACATTGTCTGTGATGGGCATCGCTTGAAAAATCGGGAATTTTTCAGAAAAGGGAAAGCTAGATCTCTTCAGATGTTTTTGAAGTCTGGAAAAAAACAAATGCTTTTGCCATTGTGAAAGGGAACCCCTCACTACAATCAGGTTTCAGAGGAACAGCCGTGTTAGTCTGTATTCGCAAAAAGAAAAGGAGGACTTGTGGCACCTTAGAGACTAACCAATTTATTTGAGCATGAGCTTTCGTGAGCTACAGCTCACTTCATCAGATGCATACCGTGGAAACTGCAGCAGACTTTATATACACACAGAGAATATGAAACAATACCTCCTCCCACCCCACTGTCCTGCTGGTAATAGCTTATCTAAAGTGATCAACAGGTGGGCCATTTCCAGCACAAATCCAGGTTTTTGTGTGGGGGGGTGGAAGGTGAGAAAACCTGGATTTGTGCTGGAAATGGCCCACCTGTTGATCACTTTAGATAAGCTATTACCAGCAGGACAGTGGGGTGGGAGGAGGTATTGTTTCATATTCTCTGTGTGTATATAAAGTCTGCTGCAGTTTCCACGGTATGCATCTGATGAAGTGAGCTGTAGCTCACGAAAGCTCATGCTCAAATAAATTGGTTAGTCTCTAAGGTGCCACAAGTACTCCTTTTCACTACAATCAGTGACAGATACTCAAGATGTGAACAACTTTCTTAGCAGTGAGAGGAGCGTGAGGGAATCTGTGAAGCGATACTCAGTATGCACCATCTGCCTCATGGGGCCAGACTCTTTGTTGGTGTAAATGCATGTAGTTCCATTTACACCAGCAGAGCTTTGCCCTTCTATGCCAGGAGAGAATTTGGCCCATTCTATTTTAAAATCAGTGTAATAGCTACTGATTAACTCACAAGAATGAAGATTACTCCCCACCTCTGTCTCAATTAGGGACAGTTTTTGATTCTTTTTGGATTTCAATAAAATTACCAAATTACTGTTTAACCTCAGATGTGTAACCACTTGGGCTTTCCAACCACACAACTCAAGTGAATCTTCTTATACACAGGTGTGCGACCAATAGCTGAGTTTTTTGCCAATTCCAAGTCAGAAGAGACTCAAGAACAAGTGCAAATTCTGTTGGATTCTTTAGGCCATGGCAATCTCAAGTATCAGAACCAAGTACACAAAGGCCTGATTCCTTTGCTGACATGCACTCCCACAAAGCCAAATAGCTGTCTCTGCAGACACTCGGGACTGTGCAGGTGAGCAGAAAGAGATGTAATCAAACTTCAGCTCATTCTTTAGTTTTATCAGAACCATCTGTTTCATAATGAATCTATCATAATCTGGAGGCTAAAGGTGAGTGGATATCCCACTACAGTTCTTGTGTTATTAAGGAGCCCAGAGAAGAGCTTATTGCAGCCACAAGCACACCCAGTATATACTCAGCTGATGTTCCTAACATGGGGATACCTGTCTAAGGATGCATACCCTGTATAGATAAACCAGTCCAATCTGAAAGTTCCTTGTTGAGATAGTACTGGATAAGAGAATTCTGAAGCAAGGATCCTTTTGTGCTCAGTTGCATGTCATGAGCACAGAGTATGCTCTTCAAGTTCCCCAGCAGTTCCTGTGTCTGAGCTCTGAGATCACACTGAAAAGGAATGAGGTGCACAGAGGTGTTTTCTGTCTGACTGGAATAATAAAATCATGAACAATTCTCCCCTTAGACTTTTCCCTCTCAGTAACACAGATGCTAAATTCCTAGGCTGTGTGTGAGCAAGTGCTGCATGTATAAAGGCTGCTACTTTTGTCTATACAGTCCCTGCTCCATCAGGATCTAATCTGCTGCTTTTAAATAAATTGAATATGAAAGTTATTTTATAATTCCCCTTCTCCTCCAGTGTGTTACCCATTATGAAAGCCTGGTATGAAAATATATGACCTCAGCTGTAGGAGAGGACATGCCTCTAAAGACATGTCTTGCCTTTACTCTGGGGAACTTCAAAGGGAATGGCCTGCAGGATTAACTATATGGTCTTTAGTGCTACTGTTTGAAATCCTGTATTTTGGTTGTGCTGCTCTTTTTTAATTGAGGGAATGGGGCTGTGGTCTTCTCACCCCCCTTAAATTTTCCCTGGCCTGGAAAAACGCACTTACAAAAAAAAAAATTCTAGCAGTATGTTAATTACCCAGACCAAGATAGAGCTAAGTAGTGAGGTAGGTAGCAACTCTGGTGCAATCTGATGCACATGAATTTAATTCCAACAATTTGAATTCCAATTTAATTCCTCCCATTTGAAATTTCAGTCTCTTGTCATCAAGGAAGAGTGGGGGTTGCCACACACACACACCCCAAATCTGCAGCACCATGGGTCCTTGACCTTTGAACATAAAATGTATGTCTTTATCTCTTCTGTTACATACCACATAAGAGAGAGATAGAGCACAAAGCTGATCTAGTGCCTCAGTTAGCTGGAGATCAATGAACCTCATGCTCAGGTTTTAAGAGTCTTGAGTGGAGAGGATTTTATGGGGATTTTGAAGAGATTTTTGTTTCCCTTTTCCCCACACTTTGTATACCACTTATCTTCTTTCACTGTAAGCTCTTCAGGGCAGGGAACTTTTCTACCTTTTTGTCTAGTCCCAGAGCAGTGGGGCGGGAGCTCCTGCAGACTCCGGGCAGTGGCCGCTCCGGCCCCACCAGCTCGCTCGGGGCGGCTCAGCGGCCCTTGCACCGGCCCTTTCTCGCGGGCAAACGGGAGCGACCAGCGCCCCAAGCCCGACTGCACCGCACCTGCCCCCGCAGGCTCCCGGCCCGGGGGCGTCTCGCGCGTGGCTCCGGGTAACTCGTGGGCTGCGGGGAGCCCGCGCGCCAGCGCCCCGCCCAGAGCCGCGTTCCAGGGGCCGCAGCCGCAGCTCGGAGGCCGGGGCTCCCCCGCCCTCCCCGATCTACCCGGGAATGCTAATTTTCATCCCCGTGATGCATTGCGCACCCTGAGCCGCGTCCCTGATCCATGGGCTGGGTTTGCTCGCAGGGACCGTGGTTCCGAGGAGCAAACGCGCGCTTTAATCGGGCCCGTGCAACAGGCTGCAAAAACGGGGGGTTTAGCCACCCGTCAGGAGAGTCACCGTGAGGTAGTGAAGTGTTGCTGTTGCCCTGGGAGCCCTTCTGCAAAGCGTTGAGTATACTCTGGTTTCTCTTCAGATCGTATAAATCTTTCGCCTTTTACTAAAGATTTCCGTGGAGAGGAACATTTATGAGTTTCTATCTAATTTTTTGAGGCTTCACTTCGGTGAAGCTATCTAATGTTGTGAAAAAAACAGAACAAGTTGTGTGTGCGAGAAAATTTGTGTTTGTTTTGTAAAACTGTTCAGTTGTAACTTATGGTGCTGGGAGGGACGTGCTATTTTTCCTTTTTGTGTATGATGGGTTCTGTTGAGTAACTTTTTAAGGGTGGGTGTGTTTTGTGACCCATCTTGCTCTCCAGGTTGGACAGGGTTGCTTAGTATTACTGTCTTGTCTGGACAATAATTGTATAATGTAAACCATAACTTGCAGATTATTTTAAATTGTCATTTTCTTTGTGCATGGTTTCATTTCCAAATTAAGGATTTAGAATATTAATTAATCCCCATGCCCTATGCACAGAATTTAGCTCTAGCTGCATGTTTTGTTATTTAATGGTGCAAAAAGAGGGTACTCATGTTGGCTTAAATGATGTTATGCAGAAGTCACAATTAATTCTTTGACCCCAGGTTTTCCCATAGGAACATCAGAACTGCCATACTGGGTCACACCAATGGTTGATCTATCTCGGGTTTCAGCGTAACAGCCGTATTAGTCTGTATTCACAAAAAGAAAAGGAGTACTTGTGGCACCTTAGAGACTAGCCAATTTATTTGAGCATAAGCTTTCGTGAGCTGCATCCGATGAAATGAGCTGTAGCTCACGAAAGCTTACGCTCAAATAAATTGGTTAGTCTCTAAGGTGCCACAAGTACTCCTTTTCTTTTTGATCTCTCTCAGTATCCTATCTCTGAGAGTGGTCAATACCAGAGCTTCAGAGGGAGTGTAGAGAACAGGGCAGTTGCAGTGTTCCCTGTCTTCCCCCTCCCAGTCTCTGTAGTCAGAGGTTCAGGGTTGCCTCAAGCATGGTGTTGCATCCCTGACCATCTTGGCTAATAGCCTATCCTCAATTTTCTTATCTAGTTCTTTTCTGAACCCAGCTATACTTTTGGCCATCGGGACATACCATGGCAGTGAGTTTCACAGGTCAATTTAATCGAGTGAAAGCCCCTCTCCCTCTGTTTTGTTTCTTTGTATTGTGGGAAAGGGAAAATATTACGTCTCTATCCACTTTTTCTACACCTTTCATCATTTTAT